AATAATCTATAACGCTATTGTGTAACATTGTAACATCTTTACCTTTATGCGTTATTAATCGTGAAATTAATCTGCACCTATGTTGTCATTAGTTTTATGTGATATAAATCTTTTAAGTTAAAAATTTCTTATTTTTAAATCAATTAAATATTTTACCCCTTAAAATATACCCATTCAAATATTTTTATTAATTAAGTTGGAAAATTGTTTTTATCAATACAACAATTTACAATTTAATTTATATTAATTGAATAACTATTTCACTAATTAATCTAAATATCTTTTATTAAACATTCTCTCTTCACTTAATGAATAATTAAGCAATTAATTTATTAACTAAATAAAGTGCAACAATTTGTGACACTAATAATGTGTAGCAACTCTACCTTTATATATTACAAATTGTCAAGACCTGTATATACCTACATTATCATAGGTTTTATTTTAAATAAATTTATCATATCATAAATTTAATTAATCAAGTAACTACTTTATTAACTAACCAAATATATTTAATTAAATATTTCTTTTGTTAATTAGTTTAATTAAATCAAAATTATTTACTAATGTAACAGGTTAATAACGTCATTGTGCAATAATTCTACTTTTGCATATTATAAATCATTGAGACTTATGTATACTTATTTTATCTTAAGTTTCACGTAATATATATTTTCTAAAAAATTAAAACATATTCTATTCATTAGATACCTGGATACCCACTTTATTAACCGAATATATTATTATAAATACAAGTTTATTTTATATTAAATCTTAAACTTTTGTTTTTAATTATTAAATAATTAATATACTAACTTACTGACTAAGTTAAAATCATATAAATGCAACGGTTTATAATGTTATTGTATAGTAACTCTACCTTTATGTATTATAAATTGTTAAGACATATGTATACTCATATTATCTTATATCGTATGCACTATTAATATATTTTAAAAAAATATTTTTAAAATTAATAAATTATATATTTATTTAATTTAATTTTATATATGTCTGAAAATCTTTCTCGTTACATTATCAAATAATATAAAAATTTTAAAAATAAAACAATATGAGTTTCTATTTAATTATATAATATGTTAACTAATTGAAGTATTCTCTTATCTTTTATTTATCTCATCTTATTAATTAATCAAAATATATTATATTTTTGTGAAATTAAAATTAATCTATTTAATTAACTCAATGATCTATAATGCTAACATATAGCATCTTTACCTTTGGACATTATAAATCGTTGAAGTTAATGTGTAACTACGTTACCGTTAACTTCATACAATATAAATTTGTTAAGTTAAATAATATTTTACCTTTCTAAAATATATTCTTCCAAATATTTTTATTTTAATCATCAAATGATCAATTTATTAATTAAAAAATTAATAATAATAATAATAATAATAATATCATTGATAAAGTAATTTGCAAATTGATTAATTTAAACATCTTTTAAAATTTTTTACTCTTAATCAATAAATAATTAAGAAATTAATTTATTAAATAATTAAGTCAGCGGTCTGTAATGTCATTGTTTAGCATTTCTACCTTTTTATGTTTTAAATCATTGAGACCTTCGTATACCAAAAGTTATCTTGGTTTCACGTAATATAAACTTGTTAAAAATATATTTTAACTTCTCTTAATTAAACTTCTATATTTACTAATCAATTTAAATATATTAATTTGTTCTCTTTAAATATTTATTTTCATTAAATACAATTAATTTCATATTTAAAAATTTTAAATCATGTTTTCAACTTTAATAAATTAAATAATCAAATATTCATTTATTTAAGTATACTTTTCTATTTTATTATATAATATTTTGTGACATAAATGTGCAATTTACATTGCCTTTTATCGATGAATAAATCATGAGATATGTATGTATATCTTACGCGGCCTTAAATTTCTTTAATATTAAAATTTTTAAATTAAATTATATATTAAAAATACTTTTTCATAAATTAAAATATTTAATTTTAATTACCACACTTACAATATGAATATGAATATATGATTTTTCTTCACCTTTCGTATTGTTTATCATAGGTAATATGTATAGCTGTACTATCTTGTATCTTAAAATATTAAATGATTCTTGTTTCATTTTTTTTAAAAATACAGTTAATTTTAAAACAAACTCTTTTAAAACCTTATAAATTTCTAATTAATAAAATAATTCTATACTTTTTTATATACAACTACATGACTTTAAGTTCTCTATTGCACCAGAGATAAGTAGGAGTAGAAATTAGACCAGTTGAGTCAAAACAGTATTTAAATTTTTTTTATTTTCTAAGATATAATTTAATATTTTAATAAATAAATTTTCTTTCTTTAAAATAAAATAATATTTATTTTTTTAAGAGTTAAATAAATACTTCTAAAATTATAATAAATTTGCACAATTAATTTAAGGTAACTGTTATTTAAACGGATATTATATGATATTTTTACACTACCGAATAGTTTCAAATATTAAAATTTTAAGTTTTTTCAAGATTTTTTATTATTATTATAAAATTTGATCTCAACTCTACTGATATTTTTTTTTTTTTCAAAACATTTTTGTCTAACGTTGCGACGGGCACGGTTGCGACACTATCTCTAGTATTCGCAAGACTTATCTTCGTCAGCAGAGGACGTAAATAATGGAGGGAAACAAAGCGATAACAACTGGGCATCGATTAACAAATCGTAAAGGTGATAAATTCTCGGCAAGACAAAGTGATTATCATACTACTATAAGAGGTCCTAGTATCATTGTAGAGGGTTCAAACGTAAGAACTTTTCTCGTAGCTCTCCTAAATTTTTCTTTTTGTATTAGGATTTAGGTTATAACCATTAAACTTGGTATGTTGTAGTTAATAGTTGAAAATTTAATCAGCAAAAGTAAGTGTAATCTCCACTAGGTTTCAATGACATTATCCTACGCCATGACCCTTCCGCACAACGTTAACATAAATATGAACAGAAACGAGCCTTTAATTAAAGCCACCCACTTGCTTTTACTACCAATCAATTGACCTTCAGACTTTTCATGGTTCAAGAGTTGGGAGCATTATCTTTTAGCACTACCCTGGCCTTTTTTTATTATCACATCGTCCTTTTTTGCATGCTTTGACTCCAAAAGATGTTGAATAAATTCATAAATTATATTTCTGAAAGTGATACAGAGTGAGTTAAAAAATGGTGGTACAAAAATTAATTATCAAGATTTGGTAGCAAATGATGATCAACCACATGTCCCAATTGCAACAAAACTTTTTCTCGTACGCCTTCCCAGCACAACGATGACAACATGTTCAGCACAAAAACCTCTGGCTCTACATATTTCTTAACCTTAAATAACAGTTTTCCAGCACCCATATTCTTCTTGCTCATCAAACAACTCGATATAACCTTAAAATCAAGTAACAGGTCCATATTTGTAATTGAGGACGTGGTTATGGTGAGAAATATGTCAATAGGACCAAAGACGTGTGCAATCATGGAGGAGCATATTAGGGTTGTACAAGGGACGGATTCCAACAGGCTTATTTTTGTTCCTATCCCACTCCAAATTTATAGATAACTTTTATTACCTGAACCCAACTCAATCAAAACTTGATGATTTTGGAACAAGAGTGGATCAATCCGACTTATTAACAAAATATATCAATCTTAATATTAAATATAACTAAACCATAGAATTACGGAAGTATAAAGGTAAAATTAAAATATATTTTACAGTATATGTTTTAAAACAAAAAATATGAATATATATATATATATATATATATATATATATGATATTCAAAATATTATTTGTTAAGCCTTGAAGTTACGAACACATAATTGCTTAAAAATATAAATTTTAAAAGAAAAAAGGCACGTGGACCAAATCGAGACAATTCACACTATAACCCAAATACAATTTTAAAATATGATAACTCCAGTTTTGAAAACCCGAACCCATCAAAATTAACATTTGGGTCAGAACGAATTGGTAGGACAGGTTAAATCTTGCACACCCATAGCCATAGTGCATGTTAAGAACATCAACAAAGAGGTTACCATTTCACTCTACAGAGAAAATATCTTAAGCTCCGTGCGGACGAGTTACCACCTTCTAGTTTATAACATTTTTTAATTTTGATCTGTATACTTTAAAAATTTAATATTTACTCTAATTTTTTAAAAATTAATTAGAGTCCTCGTTCCTTGCACTATAACAACCCGTGTGCCACATAGTATAATTTTTTCGACCAATGTCTGATATAATGGAGAAACTAAAACATATAAAGACCAAAACCAAGACAAAAATTTTACGGATCAAAACTAATATTAAAATTAATTATGAAGGCCCAAAAAAAATTTAGTCCTTCATTGCAAGTCGTTTCTGACAGAAAATTGTACACACTATATAAGTATTTGAAAGTTGGATCTTGAAAGGAAAAGAAAGGGAGTCAACATTTTCATTTTTAATAAATATTCCCTAATTTAATAATATTGTAACAGAAGAAGAAATAAGATTAATATAAATTTAATATTTTGTTTATTCTAATAAACATTGCATCACTCTCTGAATTTAAAGCCAAAGAAAATTTACTCTCCATTTCCTTTCCCTTCAAAACTCCATTTCCAAACATAATCTAAAGTTTTCGCACTGGTATTTGTAATTCACATTAATATGCTCCTTTTTTGTTTAATATTTTATATGCTTGATTTTGTAACAAACTAAATTTCCATCAAGTTGAGTAACACTAACAATTCTGAAGTTGTTAAGCATCTTCACAAATTGTTTCATAGTAGGGTCACAATTATCAGAATTCATTTTCTTTTCCGTTTTGATTTAGGGATCAAGAACCAAAATTGTGTGGACTTCTTTTATTGTCACATACAATTTAAAAGCTATAAAAATTCTACCCAGAACAGGCAATTATGGTCAAATTTTCTATGGTTCCTATTTGTCTATTTGTTCGGTATCCTTTTCAAAAAAAAGCAGAACATATACATAAAAAATATAAATCTTACACTTTTAGGAACAAGATAATTGATCAACTCTGCATGGTTGATTCCACCCTAAGCAGTATTTCGTGAACTGGTTGAAGCACACATGCATCGTGGGGGAAACTGTAGTTATCGACCCACAGGTTACTCAATCTTTCTTGTAAACTAGTGTAGGGTACTCAGGACTCCACATGTTACTCTGCACATATTTCACTATCTCATCCTGCAACTCCCCAAAAGCAGCATATCCATGATTTAAAAAAGTTTTGATATACAAATACTGGCATTTCATGTTAAATGAGAACGAACTACTTGATGATGATCCGTACAGGCATACAAAACTTTCAGCTCAAGTCATAATAAGCTAATTTAGGGAACATCGATGCAATAGAAGAAAAAATAAAACAAATTTGATGATAACGCAAAAACTGATGGGAGCCAAAGAAATAGGTACATTAAGTGTGTGTCCAATGATGTATTACTAGAATTCCTCCATCCCATTTTATTTAATTTTACTCACCATTAGCTGTTCAGAAAGTTCCCTGGTATGTCACAATGCAGATAAATCAATCTCCTATAGTTGACAAGATAGTTACTGATTTATTTTCTTAACAAACCCAGTCTGACAGACTGCAAACAAGTCTGTTCAGACCCTTGCAAGAACTTTTTCCTTCAAAATTGTTTGTCCACATTATATTAAAGATTACAATGCTACCATGCCATGTTGTCCTACAGTTAATATTAAAAACAAATTAACATTCCCAAGCAAAAAAAACTTACCTGACTAAGTTTGCGCAGCTCCCGAGCATCCATTCCATGATATCCTTCAGCTAGGTTCTCTTCCACAGCTTCTTTTATAACAGCTGCAGCTACCTCCTTGGTAATATCTCGAATTCTGTAAATATGTATTAATTTTGAGAAAGACATTACTCCTTTAGAACCATCTACATAGCCTACAACACCCCCCCCCCCCAACAAAAAAAAAAAAAAAAAGAAAATTATACCTGGATATTGAAGGGAAAATTATCCCTTTGAGAACCTCTTCTTCACTCATATATGCAGCAAGCCTTCAGTTTCCAGTGATCAGGCACACCAAAAAAGTATAAAGCAAATCAAGGTAAGACAGGATTCCAGGAAGGATATTCTGATGCAATCAATAGTTATGCATGAGATGACACCTTATTAGAAATCCACCATATCTAACATTCTAACTGAACCCCAAGTCTTATAAAGAATATTCTAACCACGTATCTAATCAGCATGAGACATCTTAACAATATCAAAACTTTGATTACCATGTGGTCTAAAGTTTGATTCTTATTGACCCCTGGACTCCCAAATGGAAGTTAAATTTGTGCACAAGATTAATTGGGCCTATCAATTGTCTACACTTCAAGCTCAAAGACATCTTACATGCGGGAGCATGTTAGATATAAAATCATTCATCAACCTTCACCCAACACCATAGCTTTCAGAGGCAAAGGTTCATGAGTTGGTATTAAAAAGTCTATAAACAAGTGGTTTGAAGTTCAATTTTGATTTCAACACAAGATAGGTATGCTTTTGTATTGTCTGTGCTAAGCAAACAGGCTTTTTGAGGACCAGGAGACACATTTGAAATAGAAAAATCATTCATGTTCGTTTACCTAATAAACTAAGGTTTCTGGACAGTTAGTTCTTGAAAGATGGAATTGGTTCAAGTAACCTCAAAATTAACTATATCATATCAGTTTGATGACTCCATTCACTCTGGCATATACAAAATTTATTTTTGACATTTTCCAGCTTAAAGCCAACTTTGGCTTCCTACTTCAACCATAGCGGTATGTTCAGAAATTAATGAATCTAGTAAAACATACCGCTCAGCAGCAGCCTGTAGCATGCCATCAGAGATGATCCTAGAGCCAGACAAGAGAGTTCCAAGGCCAATGCTGGAAATGAAAAGATATTTTCAGAAGAAAATGAAACTGCATTCTATAAAATAGCACAACTTAGCTTGAATTTAGGCTAGGGTATGAAACTGTTAACTAACCCTGGAAAGAGGTACATGTTATTTCCCTGGTTGCAGTGACCAATATGACCATTTCCTGCATAATTACAGAAAATAGCAATTGTAAGTTCCCCTAAACTGAGACACAGAAGGAAAGTAAATAAGATTTATATATACTCAATGCACATGGTAAAACATATATATATTTTAACAAGTTATAATAAAGCAGAAGGCATACTTCATATTGGAAGAAACATAAACTGTATGCAGAATCTGAAGGGTAGATAAAAAGAAAAGCTAGCTTCATCTTTACTGCTGGGACTAGCTGCAGTCAGCCAGCTTAATAAGTTGAATGATGATGTGGAGATAATTGTATCCCTAATTCCCTTTGAATTAGGGATTGTGTAGTTCATATGATAGTTTCTGTATTTAGGTTGTAGATGTTGATATCAATTCAACATCTGTTTTTTATTAGCTTCCTTTTGAAATCAATCCCTTTTATAAAGGGATGTAATTCTAGGACTACTGCAAATAAATATCCAGCTGCAAAGAAGATTTTCCTAAGCTATTCAAATATTTTTTTCTAATTTGTAAGTGACTGGAATAAAGAAGAGAGGCATGAGTTTTCTCTCCCCATTTCCTATCTTAATAACCTGTCAATATGTAATTAAAGAAACATATAGACGGTACTTGAGAAAAAATGACAGGAATTCATGTTGAATTTTGCAACACTGATGAAAAGTGCTTCAGGTTGAATATCTTTCATGGACGGAGAGACAGGGCAAAAGACATAAGCTAAAATAATTAGAATAAATAAGAATGTCACAAATTGAAAGGATGATCATCATTTTGTGACTATCAATGCATTGTACATGGATGCAGATTGCTTTCATATTCCAGGAAATTCATCTTGCTCTACATGGAATCTGCAAGTCAACTCTTTCTATGGTTGAGATTGCTTGAAGTAGATACAATGTAGGAGATCTTTGGTGAACATCAGATTTGTCCACTGACTCTAGAGCACTTTCTCTCCAATTGTTCTTGACGTATTAGAAGTTGGGGCTGGGCAAGGTAAAATAGGCTAGAACAGCCGAACCTTATTTTATAATAATATTGAATACATGTATTTTAAAATGCATAAGATTCCATACAGCACAACACATTTACTAACAATTTAAGTGCACACCGACATGGAATTTGGATTTCATATTATTAGTGTTAAGAAAGGATATTATTCCCACAACAACAGTGGGAATCCTAATCTTCCTGTATGAAACGAGTTTGTAGACAATTATCATGATTCTCAAGTTTCCAGCACGCAATAAGCAAAATAACAATATCATTTTCATTTCAGCATCACTAGATTATAAAGATTTAATATATGAAAATTGATCTGTTGAGGATTTATAAAATTGTACCAAGATCCACATCACTGAATGGACTTCCGCTTGCAAAAATAATGTTGTCACCCAAAATGGAGAATGCTTCTTCAGGGGTGCACTCAGCTGTCATAAAATGAGGGAATTGGTGCACAGACCATCATGAATCTGATTCATCCACTTCCATAGAACATGTCAATTAAGAAAATGAAAGAAGATAAAAAATATATCCACACCATTCTTTGTTGGATTTGACATGGCAAATATGGCTGGTCTTGTTGATGTTGAACCCTTCAAGGCCTCTAAAACCTAGAGGACATAATGTCATCATCAGTATATGAAATAACATCACAAAAAAGTTATTGTCCATGAAAGCATAAATTATTGCACAATGCTGTCTTCGATATTTCATTCAGTTTATACAGAGAAAGCATGTTTGTGCTTGTAACCCATAGAAAGTAAATCCTTGATTTTTATTTTTTTGTTTTGGGGCAGGAGAAAGGGATACATAATCACTGATTTATCTTATCTGTAGAATCTACATCCAAAAGACCATTTCCAGAGTTTATAATTTAGAGTCATGATGGTGCAGAAATGAAATACGACAGAAATACTATGAAAGGCATGAAGATTCTCCAAAAGCTCAACTTAAAGCACCCAACACTGGCCAACAGATTGATAGAAGCACGATAAATAGAAAAGACATCATGATCTTCTTTGTTTGGATTACCAAGTGTGCTTAAGAGGTATAGAAGGCCAAATAAAATTAGGCAAAATTAGTGCTTTTGTTATTCACAAAGGTAAATTTTGTCCTCCAACTTTATTTTTATTCATTTTAGTCCTCTAATTTTTAAAAGAGCTTCAAATAAGTCTATTGTCGTAAAAAAACACTAATTCCATTTAAATTTTTTATCTTTTTCTGCTGCGTCTATGTTCATCTTCTTTCTCAAATCTACAACTTCTCCTTTCTCCCCCACCACTACCTCTTCCCCATCCTCCATCCCTCATTCATTAGTAGTCCGCTTCCCAATGTTTTCAAAGCAGAAGGCAGTATCTTGGAAAGCTTTGCATTTGGACATGCCTATATTCAACAACCCACTGGATACTGGATTTTGAAAGGGAAGAAGAGGAAGTCGCAGAGAAGGAAGTTGTGGGAAAAAGGAGATGAACAGTATTTTTAATGAAGTTAATGTTTTTAACAACAAATGATTTATGTGAAGTACTTTCAAAAAGTTAGAGGACTAAAATGAATAAACTCTTTCTTTACATGTGGGCACGCGAGATGCATTTAATAACTTTTTCAAATTCTTGATATGTAGATATATAAATTATTTTAATGCTTTGATTCTTGATACATATTTTGTTAGTCCCATTATTGATTGCCTTTAGAATTTTTTTTATTTGACTATTTTAATTGATTTTGTTTTATGTTTATAAATATCAAACTAAAGATTTTGATTGCGTCCATAGTAGTCAATCATGGATAGCAGTGCAGAGCGGCCGACTCCAAAAACACTATAGCAGCATAGAGTATAGTGGGATGGCCGCTATTCTGAAGTTCTAAGTATACCTAATATAAAATTAATATACAATAAAGAGCAGGAAAATAAATACAGATAAGGAAATAAAAAACAAAGAAGGAAATAAGAAAAAAAAGGATTGGTCACTAGAAAATGTGCAAGTTCGTCAGATGTTTCGTTATAGATGAAGAAGATGACCAAAAAATGTTTGAATCACATTAGAAGTTTTGCCGCAGTTGAAGAAGACAACTGGAAAATGTCTGAGTCACGTTGGAAACTTCGCCGAAGATGAAGGACACTGGAAGCAAGAGAATGTAGCAAAGAAAGAAGATGGGGAAGGACAAACCAGAGAGATGAGAATGAAAACTTAGAGCTCGCGATAAAAAGAAGATATCAAAAATGTAAAAAGGGGCAAAATCCCAAGATTACCCCTATTTAAAGTCATCCAATCTTAAGAAAGGGAGGGCAAAGTCAGGTTTTGGCCAGGGATGAAATAGCAGCTGCAATGGCTGCATTTCTCCCACAATTTGGCCGCTATTCACAGTGCAATGGCCGCTCCACTGAAACGTGATGCTACAAGCTCCTCATAGCGGCGACCTGCCACTCCGCTCTGCTCCACCCCGATAGCGGCTGCTTTTGACTACTATGATTGCATCTAGATAATAAAATTTGAAATTAATCGGTTTATAACAACACAATCTCTTTAAATATGATATTTTATTATGCGATACAACCATGCACTTGTGACGTATCATAGGCTTTAGTTTGAGGGGAAGTGTTAGAATATATGAAAATATCATAGATTATTTTTCTAGGTTTAGTTTATAATTTCCTGATTATCTCTTATGATTAATTTAGGTCCTTATCTTATTATGATTTCCTAATTAGTTAGGATTACGATTAGTTTGAATAAAAGGTTAGTGCTCTAGGTTTTATTGTTAAGAAATTTGAACCTAACTCCCTACCAAAAGCTAGCTCGTAGGAAGACTACCCTAGCCCTTATAAGGAGTATTTTAGCTTTATTCCTAACCAATGTGGGGCATCTTAACACACCCCTCACGCTTAGTACTGGACATTGGTGCGTCAAATTTGCAGAACTGGACATCTGAATGGGTGGACCCAACAGGATTAGAAATCTTTGGGCAGCCCAACGGTTAAACTGAATAGGCTTTGATACTATATTAAGAAACTTGGGCCTAACTCACTCTTAAAAGCCAAAAACTAGCTATAAGAGGAGGATTACCGTAGCCCTTATAAGGAGTATTCTAACTCTATTCCTAACTAATGTAGGACATCTTAACACACCTTCCTCACGCCCAGGACTGGACATCTGGTGCGTGAAATTTGCAGGACTGGACATCTGTACGGGTGGACTTAATAGGATTGGACATCTGTGGACATTCCAACATTCAAACTGAATAGGCTTTGATACCATTTTTAGAAACTTGAACCTAATTCACTCCCAAGAGCTAGCTCGTAGAAGGAGAACTACCCTATCCCTTATAAGGAGTATTTTGACTCTATTTCTAACCAATGCGGAACATCTTAACATTTATGAACATATCAAACACATCAGCATATTTAAAACAAGTTAGCTAATATCAACTGAGTGTTTTACTTTCTCTAGTCTCTCTTCCACCCTCTATACCTAAAACGCCATAATTTTAACAAATGGTAATGAAATAAGTAAAATGTGCAATGAATAGTCAAATCAAATATAGATACCTCTTTTGAGAACAATCCTCCAACAGCAGATAATCCTAGGAGGACATCAGGCTTCACTTGCTTGACCTATTACCAAAGTTCAGTAAGAATGTATGAAGAAAACATTTTGGCAGTTAATCATTTAGAAAATGGAAAATTTCAGAGAACTGAAGTAGATTGTAAAATATTAAAAAGGGGAATTTTTCCCTAACAGATATGATGAAAGATTGGAGACATTTGATACAATAATGTTTTTTTTCTCTCATGTTTTGTTTTTATATCATAGAGAATGCCTTATCCTCCAAACTCCTTTTAAATTTGTCTCATCATCTTGTTTTATTCAACAAAGAAAATTTGGCTGTCAATTAAAAGCTCTAACTAATAATTCTAGTTATCCTGTCCACCAGATGTCTAAAAACCTATTAGAATAGGAAAACAAATCAAAAAAGATATTATAAAATCATATGAATATATCATAAAAATGTATCTTTCAATATTCTATATAAAGGTATCTAAGTTTTTCTATAAGATTTTTTCTAAGGCATATTATGTGAATTTGATAAATATGCACTTTTTAATAAAATTCATTATGAAATAAGTTAGTAATAATGCCTATCTTAAAATGTTAACATGCACTCCAACAATAAGTACTTTGGATTTTTATTTTTCAATCTTTAGGCATCTAAGGTGAGTCATGAATCGTGAAAGTTCATTAAGTTTATATTCAAATACTAAGAACTTGTCCCAAGAATATTAACTGAAGTAAAAGACTATGTCAATGATTTTTCTTTTCCTTATTTATCTCATTATAACTTTCATAATTCATACTAGTATCTAATGTGATTTTTTCACACACCACTTCCACAAGGCTTGCTCCTTCCCTCAGTCCTTGGCGACCCATTTCTTTCAAATTTCTTGCAAAAGGAAGGGCGTCTGGATCAATATTTTCACGTCCTTCTGTGATTAATCCCTGTATTTCCAAAAAACAATAAGAAAGTTGAGTATCACATGGTGATCAAAAATTCAGAAATAATCATCACTAGAGCACAAGTTCATCCTTATGCAATGAGTTTTTACACAATAAAATATTTATCAAGTGGAAAAACCGAATACTTAAGCAGGTACATAGGCAAGTCATATGATAAATCAGCTTAAGCATTAAAACATGAAATCCATTCAATCAGGAAGTTATTTCTTTAGGCTCTGCACAAACAAGGGAGAAAGGAAGACATATGACATAAACTAAATAGAGCATTTGAAGAGTGATTTGAAACATATGACAGATTGTAAATGAAAAATTAAATAGAATCCATATCTACTCATGATAATTACAAATCACTGATAAATCTCCTACTTTTTTCACAAAGTAAATGCAATGCATTGCAAAGACAAAGAACATTTCCTTACCTCTCTAGGCTAATATGGTCCTTTATCTATTCATTACTCCTTTTACATGATATATGATTTATAAATCAAGTACATATTTGGTTCAATTTATTTTGAAGATACAATCAATTATTTTTATCAGCTTTCTGAGAGAGCTTTTAAAAAATTAAGTGATCATTTCTCAGAAATCATCTCTTACCATACATGCACTAAGATGTTAAGTGATAACTATTAAAATGTCCCATATCAAATAGAAATATTGGTATAATACTCCCTATAAGACTTGGATAGTCCTCCCTTGAGCTAGCTTCTAGGAATGAGTTAGGCCCGGTTTAATTCTATTGCAATATCAGAGCCTCTATGATCAAGTGGTCTAGAAGTCAATCCTTTGCCACCCCATTCTTCCAATAAAATTGTTTAATTTTAATTTTTAACAGAAGGTAGGTGGACTAGTGCATTGTCTATGTTTTAAGCCCAGTGGGCTCTTGCATGAAGAAGCATGTTAGCAATATAATATAAATCCACTCATTTGTGTTCACCTAATAGCTTATGCTTTTGGCACAGTTGGTTCATCTGTGGTCCAACCCAACATCAAGATTGAATAGGCTTTGATGCCATATTGTGAACTTGACAAAAGCTTAAGCTATTAGTCAAGATGCACAACCGGTTTTATATATATTTTTAACATTAACAATTATATGCTCTGTTGGTATCAATGCTTCATAGATTGCCACTGGCAAGGTAAAGAATGTCAACCAATAAATACATACATAAGTATTCAATTAAATATAAAATGCATAACAAGTTATCCTTTCTATCATAAATAAAATTTATTTACTGCAAAAAACTGAACTACATCTAGTAAGAACATCAAACAGTACAATACCTTTGCATCAACAACCCAAAATTGACTCTTTGCACTCTCAAAAGCCACTTTGTTATTACCCAACATCCTTGCCATTGTTTTTCTCGCTGCGTTAAGAACCCCAATTCCAGCACTGCAGTAGTATAAATATAACCAAAGAAGCCACAAAACAATGCCCTGAATATTAATGTCCTTAGTGCTAATGGAGTCTACATATAATTTCAATTGAAACAACCATTCCACACAAAGCTCTCATTAAAACCAAAGTCCGTTTAAATGAAACCAACAGCATTTTTCAATAAAATCAAGAATCACAAAAGCAAAGGTACAGACATTACCATAAAAGATTGTCTAATGAGTAGCAAATAAATTCAACTTTTAAATAACGTTGATAAAGGAATCAGTTATTATCCAATTAAGAAATTTTATGTTTGTATTGTTTAAACTTAGACCCAAAGCATAGTATGCTAACTAAGCCACCAATACTACTCGTGTAACTAGAAATTTCCCAGGGCACAGTTTTCTTATTTTTAATAAATTTTAATTAAGCCAAAAAGGGTTTTTAAAACCCTATCTATATATAGAAAGACAGAGGACTGAATGAAAGGGAAAACAGATGGAATTAGGTTGCCAAAAACTAGAGAAAGGATTCTTGCGATGGAAACCAGAGTTTTATTCTCTTTTTACTACACAAAGAAATTACGATTTTGTTTGTTAAATCTATGTTCATACTCTTTGGGGTCCTTGAAGCCACTTAGTCAACAACAAGCTTAGTGTATGTGATTTGAACGCCACAACTTGATGGGAAGTGCTGGAAAATGAGTTTTTTAAGGTTAATATTTCCAATTTAGGTTGCGTATGTGTTGTTAATAAGAATTTGATTTGTATTATTTTCCAGATTTCCTAATTTTCTTGTTTCCTAGTTTCCAAATATTGGAGATTATAAATCATGTATATACAGTTGTGCCAAGGATTTCTTCAAGTAATTAAGAAATTGTTCATCCCTTTTTAAGTGGCACAATAACATTATTATGAGATATTTTCTAGATATTCTAACATTCCTTTTGCATTTGGAAATGTAGCTGAAGATAACTAACCAACCTTCCAGCACCAGCAACAACAATCTTCTGCTTTGGGAAGTCAATCATTGGCCTTCCTTGTGCCCTTACAGCACCTAGAAGTCCTGCAATTGCAACACCAGCTGTTCCCTGGGCAGAGCCAGAGAATTTCACACACATCAAGCAATGAAATATTCCATGACAAGATATAAACGTAAATAGCTATCAATAGATCAATAACAATTCAGATACTTCGCAACATTTAGAAAGTGAATTGTAACTTATGGTATAATTCATCTGCAATCTAATGGATCATAAATTTTGAAAGAAAAATGATTGCAGAAAATTCATATTTTAGCTCTCTCAAACCTTGGCTTTTATGATCTCAAACATATGAAGTGGAAGATAACATTTATAAGAGAAGCAGAAGGTACATATAGCTGATTTCTTCCTTCAAAGCAAGTAATCATTTTACTTCAGAGGAAAATAAATAAGTAGAAAGATAGGCTATGAAATATTGCATGAGATGCTAGACAAGACATATCCCTTACAGGAATTAAATGAGAGATGCCCTCATACCAAGTCTAGAAGCCAAGAACATCCATTTGTAAAAACAAGGTGCAATAAGCCAATCACTCGAGTACAAGCTAGTGCGTGCAAAACACCAAGTTTTCTAACTAAGGTTGTTTGGTTGGACACTAAAAATGAAATGAATTGCTACTTTGCTCATTTAAATCTTGCGCCACCTTTAGGTAATTTTACTTATCGTAGTACATCTTAAGGAGTCTTGTTGAAAACCTAGAGTTAGAATACAATAACAAAAGTCCCATCCCACTAGATGAGGTCAATGGATCACACATAATCAAAAACCAAATTCTCATTATTTATCATGAGATCTCTTTTAATAATTTCTTCCAAAATTCATTTTGGCTTTCCTCTACCCCTTTTCACAAGGTCAAAAAGCAGGCAATCCACTCCCCTCCCCAATCATTTTCTGCTTATTTATTGGCTATTAAGAGAAGTCAGCTACATGAATCACACGAAGTCATTGGACTCAAGTCAAAAGCCAACATACAACAACAATCAAGCCTTATCTCACTAGGTGAGATCGGCTATGTAGATCACAAAATGCCATTAAGCTCAGTCAAAAATCAAATTTTTAAAAATCTAGTTAATCAAAAGGTTTCTTTTAATAATTTCATCTAAATTCTTTTGGGTCTCCCTTAACCCTTCTTTACCAGATTAAGAGTCATGCAATTCACTCTCTTTACTGGCATATCCAAAGGTCTTCTCTGCACATGATTAAATCATTTTAGATGATTTTCAGTCATTTTTTCCACTATAGGTGCTACCTCAATATTCTTTCATACTATCATTTTGTATCTTGTCTTTTTTCATGTGTCCACTAATCACTAGCATTCTCATTTTTGTCACTCCCACTTTTTTCTCGTATTACTCCTTTAAGGCTCAACATTCAATACCATATAGGATAGTTGATCATATTACAGTACAATAAAACTTTCCTTTTAACTTGATAGGCACTTTACGGTCACAAATAACTTGTGTCTTTCTCTACTTTAACCACCCAGCTTATATTCTGTGAATAACATCTTCATTAATTTTTCCATCATTTTATATAATTGATCCCAAGTTAACATCTCTAAAATATTATTTATCACTATAACTCTTTTAAAAATTTCTTCTAAAGTTCATTTAGATCTCCCTTGATCTCTTTTCACCAGACTAGAAGTCAAGTCATCCACTCTTCTCACTGTTGCATCAACTTGCCTTCTTTACACATGTTCAAACCACCTTAATCAATGTTTTGTTATCTTTTTCACTGTAAGTGTTATTTCAATATTCTTACATCTACAATCATTTTTCATCTTGTCCATTCTTGTGTGACTACTATCCATCTTAACATTGTTATTTTTGCAACTCCAATTTTTTTTTTCATGTTATTCCTTTAAAGTCCAACGTTCACTACCGTTTAAGATAGTTGATCGTATGGTAATATAATAAAGTTTTCATTTCAACTTGATAGATACTTTATGATCACAAATAGCTCTAGATGTCTTTCTCCACATTATTTTATGAGTAACATCTTTATTAATTTTTTCATCATTCTATATAATCGATTAGAAACAACTTATCAATGTTTCCTTCTTTCCTTGGGAAGGAAGGGATGATAGTATGATTAATGGTTTCTATCAATTTTAATACAGTGATGAAATACTCTTACAGTGTCATAGTTATGATAACTTGATAAGTGAAAGTGATTTAATCCCAAGTAAAATTAAGAAAAAACAATATTTCCTGAGAGCTCTAATTGCTTCCTGTATAAACAACTGACATCATATGATCCTATATCAAAGAAATTTTACCTGCACATCATCATTGAACATTCTGTAGGTATTTCTATACCGCTGTAATAACTTAAATGCCCATTTGCTTTGGAAATCTTCAAACTGTGTTAACATAAAAGTTAATAGCCTTATAACACAAAAATACAAACACAAAGAATTCAAGCTACTATCTATATTTTTAACCTCACTGTTAATACCTGAACAATCACGTTTGGCCAGCGAGTAAAGACAGCCTCCATAAATTCATCAACGACAGCAAGATAGTCATCCCCATCAAGACGATGCTGCTGCAATCCCAAATCTGATACACAAGAATAATCCATTCATGTTTTATGGACTCAAGTCCACTCACTTACAAAGCTTAGGATGAAAGGTGATTATCATCATCAATGCAAGTGAAATAACCAAAGGCATATGCATATTGTTTTTATGGTTCATTGAGTGAGCAACAGAAGAGTTGTTAGAGATATTGAACCACTCCTAGGCTTCAACGAAATAGCCTAAGCATTTGGGAAAGTTGGTCCTTGACTAGTTGTTAGTCTCTTTGACCATCAGGTTAGGAGCTCTTCTAAATAGAATTTTAGCTTAAAGTAATGGGTCTGTGCATTCTTCGCATGACAAGATTAAAGGGCTGCTTCATGATGAATCATGTAACGAAATATAAAACCACTTGAATCTGAATGTGTTTTTCATTGATTAATGAATGCTGTAGAATGTTTACATACAAGAGAATTAATGGTTAACAGTATGTTAACCCTATAGTAACAACCTGACTGACAAACTAACCTAATCTATCCTTATCTCAATTCTGTTTAACAGAACAGTAGTACATCTTAACAAAACTGTTCACAGGCTTCTACCTAATAGCTCTAGCTTTTGAAAGTTGGTCTTAGGCAGGATTACTGAGTTGATGAAAAACTAGTGATAGATAACATTTTAATGTAATCATGTCACTTCTGTATCACTCCCGCACAATACCATTCACTGAATGGATATAGACTTAAAACTTACATAAGGGGTCTTTGAGTAACTTCTCATTGTTAGTACCAACATCAATCATCACAGGAAGTACCTGTTGCAAGAAAAAAGAAATCTCAGCAAAGTGAAAGATGGGTACAAAGCTAGCTAACAATAGAAAAATGATGCAATATATCATGATGAAGATGATGTCATAGTTAGAAGGTCAATGGGAGCACATTTATTACTATTTCTTATGGTCCAAGCAATACCATTGTGTATTGATAAAATTAGACAAGCTATCCAAGCTAGAAAGGAACAGTTCCAAGACATAATAAAAGGTTAAACAAACTACCAAAAGCCATGACAAATTATTGTTAAATCAACATGCACAAAATAATCAGACTACTGCAATGGAGGAACCATTTAGTAGAATGAAGGTAAGTTTTCCATAACTGACAGTATCCTTAATATACAAGAAGCAAATTAACAGTTGGTTAGGATGAAGCATAGCCAAAAGACAATAAGCATCTGAGGGTAGGATCTTAGAAAGACTTCTTTGAAATCTATAAAAGCAACACAATCCTGGGGGTAGAGATCAGGATTCCTCCTGATTTTTATTTTAATCTTTTGTTGTTCTTGTTCTTCTCATTATGTCTAGGTTATTTTACATGGTTTGTAATTCGAACATTAGTAAGTATTTTTCTTATTCTAAGGTTTGAGACCAGCCCCAATTAGGATTGATAACTATATCATGAACATTTTATAATCTTTTATTAATCTTAATTGCTTCATTCAATTCTTGGTACTCCTAATGCTTGTGAATTTGTTGAACTCCTTATTTACATGATTTTAAATGTTATGGGAAGGACCAAAAGGTGAACCTTATCATTAAAAACTCGAAGATTGAACATGAGATTCTAAAGTCTAAACTACAAAAGTAAACTAGGTTTCTTAAGGAGTTAGGAATCACCACAAAATTTAATGAATTTACTAAGATAAAATTACCACAAAAGTAAGAGTTAGACTAATTAAATATGCTATTGTATTTTGAAAGGAAACAATAACTACCTTAGGATAATTTGCCTTCAAGATGAATCAAGAATTAATATAGGATCATCTATTTTAGTTAAGTTCATCAATTCTAATTTGTGGTGAAATCAATCCCTAAAAGTTTGTTAGAATTTGAATAATCTATTTTTGATTATTTTGCCTTTTCTATTCTCTCTTTAATCCACTTAATTAATTGGTTGTGTTTAGATATTTAAATTGTAATTATTCAGTATTTAACAGCACAGTCCCTGTAAATATGATAACTTTTTATATTACTTGACAATAATTGTACACTTGTGGCTTTGTCACCTAACCAACAACTTAAACGTGCATATCATACATAAGTTTATATAGTTCAAAGTAACATTTAAGGCATTCATAATCATACATTTTAGGTTGAGTTTATCAGACATTTATTTTTATTTGTTTTAGTTCAAGTTATTGCTTTCATGTATTTGATGTGTAGATGTGTGCATTTTGGGAGTTAAAATATGAAGATTTAAGAAGCATTTATAAAGCCTAAGTCTGTTTTTAAATGGCCACGTTTCATACTTCCAAATCCATTTTTAAAAGTTCCTAACCAAAATTAAATGGGTTGAAGACAGTTATGAAGCTCAAGTCTATTTTAACCTAAAAGAGATACACTCTAAGGGACCAAAGGCAATTATGAAGCCCAAGTCCATTTAAACATAAAACAAACACCTTCCAAGGAGTCCCACACCGTTAGCAAGCTGTGAAGAACTCTCCCAATGGGATCAAAGCAAAATTGAAGACTTGGGGTACAATTCTGGAAAGCATCCCTACAAGATCTATAAGAGCAACATGCTTCTAAGGGACAAATTAGGATTCTTTCTTGTTTCTTCTCTATTCTCTTTTGTTCTTTCCCATGTTTATATTTGTTTCTTTGGCTTGTAATCAAACTATGAATGTGTAATTTTTCTTATTCTATGGTTTCAGAGTAAACCAAATTAAGATTGATGTCGATATTTTGAACACTTTATGGCCATTTGTTAATCTTTATTGTCTTGATTCAATTCTTTGTGCTCTTAATGCTTGCAAATTTGTTGGTCCCCTTATTTACCTGATATTAGATGTTAAGAAAAGAACTAAATGATAAACCTTGTCATTAAAAGTCTCAATTGAACTTGAGATTCTAGAGCATGAAGGCAGACGAGGATTCTTGAGGAATCACCGAATCATAATAAAACTTAATGAATTTAATTAAATATAATTACCATTAAAGTAAGAATTAGACTAATTAAATATGTTATTGTATTCTGAAATGGTACAACAATCACTTTAAGGTAATTCACCTTCATAATTAATCAATAATTTACATAGAGTCTATTATGATTAAGTTCATCAATTCTAATTTCTAGTGAAACTAATTTCCAACATTTTCTTAAAATTTGAATTCATTCTTTTTAAATTAATTTGCACTTTTAATTTTCTATCTTTGTCTTTTTTTATGTTTCTTTATCTTATCTTATTAATTGAGTGTGTTTAGATCGTTAAATTACAATTATTTAGTACTAAACAAAACAGTTCCTAAAGAGACTATCTTTTCACTACTTAACAAAACTCATGCACTTGCAGCCTATCTACTAACTTTATCAAAAACTTGAACAGTTTGAAAGGAAAAATAATGAAACATTCACAATGGCATACCCTTTGTGGATTTATCCCAGCAGCAGCAACATATAGATCAAGCTTTCCAACAGCAATGCCAATTCCATGAACTCCAAGATCTCCAAGTCCCAGAATTCTGCTCCCATCAGTAACTACAATCATATCAACCTGAAATGAGATGTCCCAATTTCATACTTAAATGAGTTTGTAATAGTATATGTCAAAGTATTATACAAGGAGAGCAAGCCTTGGCGCAACGTAAGATTGCTACCTCGTGAGTTAGCAGTCACAGTTTCAAATCCTAAAATAGTCTCTCTATTTAAGGGAGTAAGGCTGTATACATCTACTGTACCCTCACCAAACCCAACAAATTATGAAAATAGAAAAACCTAGAAGAATTTTGGAGGAAGTTATTAAAAAGGATTGGAAATTCTTAAAAAGGATCATATGGTAATAATATCTCAAAAAATTTTATCTTTGACCGAGATCAATAGCATCATGTGATTTAGTTAGCCAACATCATTTAATAAGATAAAGCTTTGTTGTTATATCAACCAAACTACTTTGGAAGTAGAGAATAAGCTATGATCAGAGCAAGCAAAATTCCATGCCAATTGTTATAGAAACAATTCAGCAGTCAAAACAATACATATAATTTAATGTGCATTAATACAATTTAAAAATGAAATCTAAAATCAGAACAGGCCCAATTCCAGGCCATTTGTGAGAAAGAATTAACTTCAGCAATCAAAACAGTCAGACATTTAAAATTCATTAATACAAACATGTAAAGCAATGAAATTTAGGAGTACTGGCTAAATATTTATGAGGAAAACTATGATATGGATAGTTAACAACCTGCTCAGCTGGCCAGTTATAGACCATGGACATCATTTCTCCACGATCCTCAGCACTGAAATACATTCCTCTTGGCCTTCTAAACAGTCCACTAAAGTTTTGACACACAAGACCAACTGTTGGTGTGTACACTATTGGCGCATATTCCTCAATTTTGGCAATCAAAACCTGAATATAAGACACCATTTAAGTTAAAATCATTCTTTTGATAAAACACAACTTTAAAGATGCATGAGAACTACTTCATTTATTTACATACACTAAAGAAGGCAAGTTTAGTTTTCCAATTTTTTGTGACTTGAAGAAAATATACAAAACACACATAAAAAACAAAAAACCACATGATGCAGTTGTTGAAATTATAGGATTTTAGGTATAGAGGAAGGAAAAGGAGACAAAAGGACTAAGGCCCAGTTTATATTAACTTCTCAATAAGTACTTATAAGAGACAAAAATAAGAATTGCAGGGTGAACCAAAGTTTATGTGCCATTGAATTCTAAAATCAGACAACAGAAATGTCAATTAAAAAACCTCATATGATAGTTGCACCTACAACATCTCATTTTGTCTTAATCGTCTATGCAACTGTGCATTCTGTAAGTTATGAAGGGTCACTGTGTTAGAGGCACTGGTAGATATTGACACCCAAATCATGATGAAAGTTTATTCCTGCATATTTATTATCAAAGGAGTGCAATGGAAAACTCTGGACATACCTTATAGTACATTGTCTCATTTCTGTCATGCAAGCGATTAAGTATCCGCCACTTGGCCAATGCATTAGGATCAGAAGGTCCATCTCTTGCTTGAACTTCAAGTCTCTTAAGATCAACCACTATTAACAAAAGAATTTTAGCAATAGTTAAATTAAAAACTACTAACAGAAAAGAGAAAAATATTAAAAAGAATCTGAATCCTTAATTCTCATCACCAAAGCATCAGCCAGAGATTATGTATGTACAGCCTGCCATTTATATTTCAGTTGGATGACAACAAATTTCAGTATAAATGGCAAACTTATGCAATATAATCAGCACCAGCCACTACAAAATACTTCTTGCAGAAACTCCAAGAAGCACTATCTTGACAAAAATTTACTAAAGTACAAAAATTGAAGGAAATTCCCTGACAGCCTAATTTATTAATATGGCTTAATTAAGTATTTAGTCCCTTCAAAAGCTGCATATTTTGGATTTAGTCCCTAAAAAAAATTTGGGTATAGTCTTAAACTTGTTGAACTTATAAAAAATTGGTCTCTACTGTCAACTGAATTTCATTAAGTAATGAGCTAGATAATGAAAGCTCAACTCATTACTGTCATGTTAGTCAGTACTTGATAATCATTTCAATAGTTTATTACTTAAAAGTTAATCACTAAAAAGTCCCTAAAAAAACTCTCTTTAACGAGCCTAGGGGAAAATTTCTTAGTCAGGCATCATCTTCGCCGGAGAGGTTTTTCAATATACCATAGTCTAAAATCCTGGGTGGGGTGGAGCTGGTACATCAATCTAGCCTACCTGAGTTTTGTTCATCCACCCACAATGCAGTTCTCCATTTGTTTTTCTTTTTTAGATTGGGTACATGGCATCCACCCATGACATAGTTCTCCGTTCATTCATCCAACCCCAAATCTATAATACCAAGGGAACCGGCCAAGCAATTTTCTTTCTTTTTTTTTTTTTTTGCATATCTTGGCATCATATGCACCATTATTTATTTATCCTCTGAAATCACTTGCTTGTAATTTGGCAGTATTTTAAGACACATTTAATATTTTACTGGGTCAGAATTGTTTTTTTGTAATTGCGGGATTGATTTGTGGCAGAATTTTGTTTGCAGCAATGGAACATTTTCTTGGGAGTGGAAGTTAAGAGGCACCAGACAATCAACTCAGAAGAAATTCCGAAAGCTTTAGGATTCAACTTTTGACCCCATTTTCACTCTGAAGAGGCAGCAGCTGTAGAGAGAACCATATCCAATGGAGGACATTTGTAGGTGGCAGCATAGCATGTGAGCATGCATCGCAGTGTAGATGAAGACACGATAGTAAGGGTTGGGTGGTGCACAGCGAAACTAACCAGATCCACTAGTTGCTGTTCATAAAACTCGTCGGAAAAATGACAATGGCAGTGGTGGCTAGAAAAGGAAGGAGGCTGGATTAAAATAATTAAAAAAATTGAATTAATTATTAATTTATTAAAATAATATAAATCTCTTTTTTCAATATTGACTTTTAAATAATAAAATATTAAAAATAAATATTAGGTATAGAATGACATGACAGTGTTGAGTTAGACTTTTATTATTCATCTCATCACTTAACAGAAAAGACCATTTTTTTATAAGTTCAAAAAGTTAGGAACCATATCCTAATAAAAAAAATTGTAAACTAAATAAAAAATGTGCAACTTTTGAAGAGACCAAATACTTAATTAAGTCTACTAATATTCTGCAAATTTTCACATAATCCAAAGCTATAAATATAATATCATCTCAAGCTCAATGATTTCACATAACAAAATTTTAACAAAGAACAAAGAAGTGAATAAAAGTTTTTCAAAAACTCAAAGCTATCTCATAAGAACCTTGGGAGAACAGCTAGTTGTTGTAGTTAAAGAGCCCAATGCTTTATAAACTCCATATTTACTTCCAAAATGGGACTCAAGTCTCATACCTTACAATTGAATCCTAACATCCCACCACGTTCTGCAGCACCAGCTAGTTGTGCACTAACCCCTTTGAGTAGTCCTAGGCAAATACTATAACGTCAGGATGAGAGACATGGTGGAAGACTCTGATACCAATTGATAAGAACCTTGGAAGAACCACACCACAAAAGCTAGTTGTTGTAGCTGGAGAGCCAAAGATCTTATAAATCTCACATTAGAATCACATACTTCCAATGTGAGACTCAAGTTTCATATCTTGCAATTGGATCCTAACACTATCCAATTAGCCTTTATATTATAAATGAGGGTCTACTAATTAGGAAATGAAGCATTCATAAAGTTACGCACTTTCACAGTTCATCACATGTACATTTTAATATTAAACTTGATTGAAAAGGATGTGTGAATTATATTCTCTCTCGCTGCAATAGGTTTATTTTTTACCCACATCTTTGTTAATTTCGTTCTAAATTTTAGAAATTAAAGTTACTATTTAACTTTTTCTTATTTTCTTATATAAATTTTTAAATTTTTCATGAATATTTATCTTTACACTTATAAAAAATATCTTTTTTTATTTTTCTTAATTTAAAATTTATTTTTAAGGGTCTTAACTCTTAAATTTATGGTAATTTATTATTGAAATTTAAAAAATTGATACTATACAATATAAGTATTATTTTAAAATAAATTATATTTTAAATTATAAAATCTTCCCCTTACATGGTCTGGTCCATACAACTAAACCAGACTATGAAAAACATGGAACATTTCCTGCTCTTGCAAATTATTGAAACTAACCACCAACAGACCTCAAGCATTTAAGAAAAAACCTAACTCTCCATGGAGAGGGTAGATGGCCTTTGCTATTACGCTCATCCCATACTCCTCTTCTTCTATACTAGTGTGCTAAAGGGCTATCAGTAGGCAAACTACACACCACATTCAAGCCACAGAACCATGCAAAAACAGATTTCTATTACTTGTCTGTTCAAAGACCTGAAACAGAATATATTGCAAGGCCAGTATTACTATTACATGCAAAAAAGTCATGCTATTTACTCTAAGAGGTACAGACCAAACAGATAATACAACCATGGAAGAATCCTTGCATTGAATGACCTAATTCTCAATTAAAGGGAAAACGTATTTCAATTATTAACACCACAAGCACCATTATAAAAAAAAAAAAATCATTGCAAAACACAATATTGATTTGATATGTTCAACTTTGACCTGATACCGAGGAAAATATAAAAACATACTGAAGCGTTCAATCTGTAGGTCAGGAGACATAACATTTGGTGGAAGCAGACCTCGAAGATCAAGACGATCTCGTTCTGTCATGGAAAAAGCTGTTCCCTAATTTTAAAACACAAAAGTTATTATATTACTAAATCAGATTGTAAGTTTATGGGAAATGAAAAAATAAAATAAAAAAGATCCACCAATGGAAGAGTGAATGATGCACAATCTTAATAGCAAAGATATACATTTATCTTCTGGCTGGCAATTTAAGACAGACTAGGAAGAAATATCAGACTTATGAAAAGAAGATTTGCCAGAAATTTCACGTGAGCTTTCAAGCACCAGGTAAAATAAGCTGAAGATAAGGATAATTATCTATCGAATGTAGCCTCTAAAGAATAATTTGGAGCCAACATCTACAAAATTTGTAGAGCCTCAGCCTAGAAGATAAGCCAGCCAACTAGTGAAGAAATTTTATTGGTCAGAAGTTTCCTTGAATTAAGGAGTCTATGGAAAAAGTTCATCCAAATGGCAATAAAGGTTTACTGTCTCTAAAATGAAAAGTATCAGAGAATCTCTCCATCACATCCCTTCCAAAACAAAAACAAACAAGAATCTCCTCATATAAATAAGCTACTGAGGAATCGCCTTCAAGGATTTATCAGTAGAATATAGATGACATAAAGATGAATTTCAACTCTCGGCCACACAGCAAAATCTGAAAATGTATACTGTGGTGTGTATGCAGTTCATTTGTTCCCATTAAACAATCTACTCACTTATCAGAGGACATATCAAAGAAAGAACCCATCTAAAATAGACCCAAGAGAATACACATTACTTCAATCTATGTTCTGATACCACACGGAAACTGCATTTTTGTATTCACAAGACAAATTAACAAAAATAAACAACCACTTAATCATAATCCTACGAACAGCACTTTACCAATCCCAATATGTAAAACAATTCAAGTAATTCCAATTAAGATCAAACTAACATGAAATAAGTAATCGCATCTCGTCAAAGTAAGCAACAGCATACATAAAAGCAACATAGAATCACTGAAGCCCTAACTACACTATAATTAATGACTCGTGCTTTGTCTAGATAAGCTTATTTTTCACCTTATTCGGGCTTCTCAATTATAACAAGCACTTGTGAAGCATTTTATGGTCCTCTGGATGAATTAAAACTCCGAAACTCATAAATTGCTTTTTCTAGCCTAATTTCATGAACTATAAATTGAATCCTACTAAATAAGCCTTCGCAACACCTTGTTTTCTTCCTAATTTCACCTTAATGAATTATCACGATATAAACTCTTGTATTAGCAACTGTCTAATCTATCCAATTGATATTAAGTCAAAAAACCAAAAAGTAAAAACAACAAACAACACTAAACCTTCGATTTACCTCTTTATTAAGTTATGCATCCAAACAAGGCCTTTATAAAATCGCACGATTAGAATTAGTTTTCACTCGCTACCACTGACACTCATTCCAAACAGCTCTTAATTCAATAATTCTTTAACACAACGAAAATAAGCTGCATGTTTAGATTTGTTTATTTTTTTATTTAAAATACCATAATCAAAACCTTACTGACAGAGAAGGAGTTTTTATAGAAAAAAAAAAAACATCATAAAAATTAAGTGCATGTTTAGAATCACTGATACCTGGAAAAATAATCAATTATTTTTTACTAGTTCTATCAGAAAACAAACAAAAAGAAACGATTATTTCTTCAAAATAAGTTGAATTAATCACGCATTAAGCTGAATCAATCATGCACTAAGATAAAAGAAGAAGAAGAAGAAGAAGAAGAGAAGGAAGAGCGTAATACTTTATTGAACCAAGGATCATGGAGAATGTCGAGGCTGCGTTTGTGGATGATGGTGGGGCCATGACCTTCCGTTGTGGTGAAAGATCTTGAAAGCAAGTGCGTGCAAATCACGTGCCGCTTCAGCGTCGACGACGACCCCCTCACGTGCTTCCACAACATCGCCATTTTTGTGTGAGGATGAGATCTGAGCTCTCTCTCTCTCTGAGTCGTGCTTATTTATTTATGAGAACGAAAGGACCAGTAACGTTTGTTTCCAATTGAATAGGGGTGGGGTCTTAGTGAGAAGTATAGTCTATCATTGCGGTCGCAGAGGGAACGAGTATTTGTATTTCAGAGTTTCGTTTTGGAATATTTCCATTTGTACGTAGAATTTTATTTTGACTCCAGTAAATGACAGGGACTCACTCAAGAAACTTCAATTTATAAGTGCGTCGGATAATCTTTCTTTCATTTTATGACGTATGAAGAGATTAAAAAACCATATTTATAACATTAGAGGGTCTTTTATTTATACGGTGGGATTTTACGCACACGGGGATTTTAAAAAAATTGTCACATGAAAATTTTAGTTTTTAATTATGAGATAAATATTCTTTTAGTCCTGCATAATACTTCTTTTTTAATTTAATTATTAAGTAAAAAATTTATATATTAATTCATATATAAAAATTTATTTTTAATTTTATCTTTGTTTCTGAATATATTGTAACAATATTAATTCTTTTTTAATGTGGTAAAAAGTTATATAAAATAACAGATTTAAATTATCTTTTAGTTTTTACACAAGGATATTTTTTTTTAATCTTATTGGGTTAAAAAAAATTGTATAAATCCATTTATGTAAGTTTATTTTAAATTTTATTTTTATTATTATGATACACTTATATTAAATAACATTTTCTCATCATCTTTAAAAGAGTATTTCATATTCTTCAAATAAGTTGTATTCCTTCTCCTATCATCCTTATTTCAATATCTTAAATATCAGTCATATTCACATGAGTTGTTTCTAAAGTTAATAACTTTATTCTTTTGCATCTTTGGTATATTTATAAAAAAAATCAAAATTACTCTTAAAATCATCACTATCTTTATCATTTTATTTATTTTTACAACCACAGATTAATTATCTTAAAAAATAGCATTGAAATATGGATTATAGGAGAAGAGATGAGGATTATTATGGAAATATGATGGAGCAACAAGTAGTGATATTTGAGATGAAATATTCATGTAGAGAAGAATCAAGACATAATAAAATCTTATCAAGATGATTTTTACACTGAGTTTAAAGCAAAAATGTGTTCACTTATATAATAAATATGACGTCATCAATGAAAAGGTATGAAGTTTTTTTGAAGAATTTGAAATATAAAAAAAATAGCATTGAAATATGGATTATAGAAGAAAAGATAAGAATTATTATGGAATATGATGGAGCAAACAATTAGTGATATTTGAGGTGAAATATTCATTACGAATTAAGACATAATAAAGTTTTCTCAAGATGATTCTTGCACAAGTTTAAAGCGAAAATGTGTTAACTTGTACAATAAAGTTCAACATCATCACTAAAAAGGTACAAAATAAAATATGAAGCTTTTTTGAAAAATTTGAAATACTCCTTTTAAAATGATGGGAAAATGTCACTTGATATTAATATGAAAATGTCACCGTAATGATAGGAACAAATTTAAAAATAAGTTTTCATATAGGGACTAATATACAATCTTTTTTACTTAAAGGAACTAAATTACAAAAAAAAAATTGTACAAGAACTAAAAAATAATTTAAATGTGTTACATTGGATAATCGTCTACCACATAAGAGAGAGAGTTAACATCATTATAACATACTCTAATGCTAAAGATAAAATTTAAAATAAATTTTTGCATAACGACTGGTATATAATTTTTTTTTACCTATAAGAACTAAATTACAAAAAGGAGTCTTTTACAGAAACTGAAAAATCGTTTATCCCTTTAACTATTTATTGACATTTAAAAATGTCATGAGTAATTTTTATACCTAAAAAAAAATTTAAACACTGAAAAATTGTTGATGGCAAATTTTGGGGATCTTTTTTACACTAAAAAATGGACATTGACAAGTTTTAAGAAGTAAAATATTTTAAAAAACCATTTTAACCACTCAAAATTGTCATTAGTGTTTTTTGAGGAGAAAAAAAATGTCACTATTGGCATTTTTTTAAAAATAGCATTGAAAATTTTTAATCTTGATCCTATATAAACTCAGTTCCATCCTCGTTCATGTTGCTTGAAAGAGTTTCAATTCTCTTGTCCTTTGACAAAGAAAAATGAGTACAAATGTAATAATATATTTTAATGATAAAATTGTTACAAACTTAAACTTAAATAAAGATGTGATGTTAAAATGTGAGAAGCCAACACATGTGTATATTTTATATAATATATCATCTAAAGAACTAAAGTATTGACTTAATCAATATATTAAACTTGATAATTTAAAAAAAAATGGAGAGAATAACATATAGGTGTTTAATCTTGATTTTTGGGCATTTCATGCAATACTAGACAATTTCAACGAGCAACGACAATGATCATCAACAAATGTTTAAAATACATAAGCAATATAATTCTTAAATTCTTGTCATTGAGTTGTATGTTTTTTTTTAAGAAGTTTCAATTGACATTTATCAACAAAAAGTTTTGGTGAGCACAGTTCTAAATAGAGAAGTAGAATATAAATAAAACAACAACAAAAGTGATGATGAGGACTTTAAATAAGCATGTTGGAAGTGATATGATATTGTATAAAATAATGTGGATAATAATGTAGATGATGAGCACTTCCATTTAACACATTGTGGGAAGTCAACATTCGTTTAGAGAGTTATCGTTCATGTATTCTTTATATTTTAATATTATGCATGCGTCTAAGTTTTCAAAGTATGCAAACTTGGGTATGTCAATGTTATAATTTTATTGTTGGTCAATTTAATTTTAGTTGTTTTAATTACTTTATGTTTGTGGTTGATAGGTCATTTTGATGTAGATGGAAAATAGTATATTAGAATGCAATTCAATGACAAAGAAGCTATTATATGAACCATTAAGCGTAATATTTCAAGATGAGTGGATTACTAAGTGTTTACGTTAGAACTTCATATATTTTATTGCAAATGCATTTGCTATGACATAGATTAAGAAAGACTTGTTCGGGCTAATTTTAGGAAGAATAAAGATTTTTAAGAAATTAGGAAGTATAAGGGCTTACACACTTGTACTAGAGCAAAGATTTAGCAGGATCATAAAAAATTGGATGCAAACACAATTGCAAAATATATTTATCAGGCCTGTAATTTATTATTGAGTAATCTATAATATTTTGTACTTGTTAAATATTAATTGAAAGATTATTTGATATTGAAATAGATTTAGATTGATATTGAAATTATTTTTTTTAAAAAAAAAGTGAACAGTGTCGTGAACAGTACACGTGAACAATACGAAATGCGTCAACAGTGTCGGTAAATAGTGCAACGCACATGAACAGTATTGGTGTGAGCAGTAACTCTGACATGAACAGTAAGGCGTTGTGAACAGTAACTCCGGCATGAACAATACCAAAAAAAAATTTTCTATGAATAGGGGTCCTTGCACAAAATTTTCACTTTTCCACCATTCTCAAAGGTTTCAAGGCCATATATCATCATTTTCTCTCATACTAAACTTTTCTAAACTTAGATTTCTCTCTAGATCTGTGATTCTGCGTCCGTTCTAAGGGATTTAAAGTAAGTTTCTCTAAGTTTAAAGTTAGATTCATCGTTCATTTCTCTTCTTCTTCTTCTCTTTCTCATAGAAGTTCATGATGTTCTTATGAGAGACTCTGTTCTAAAGTCAAATCTTTGGTGAATCTTACGTTAAAACAAGTAATAGTTGGTAAATCTAGTGTGAATCATCGTTCTAAGGTAAGGAGAGCTTACTTTAGCCTATAATCTATATTTTGAACAATTTGATATGCTATTAAAGAAATGTTTGAATTGATTTTGTTAGATCTCTTTGATAAAAGCTGAGATATAAAAGATTTAATACTTGAAAGTTATTTTTCTATGTTGTAACTGTTGATAACTAATTTAATAACACTGAGATTTGACTGATTTATTATAAACTTGTCTTAGCTGAGTTGTTGAAATGATTTTAGTCGCGCTGCATCATGCTGAGATATATGTCTTGTATCATTATAGAGCCGAGTTACACGTTTAGGTGGTTAGATGTGTAGCGATAGAGCTTGCTGAGTTGTGTTGTGTTGTGCTATCTAGATCCAGATATCGGAGTGGGTCGCTCTCGGACTGGCTCGGTTCCTTCTGGATTACTTAAGCTGTGAAACCAGTTAGAAACCATTTTCATGTTGTGCATTAGATGGGCTGGGAATGCATGGGGCTGTTGCTGTGAATAATATTTTGCTCTCTATATATATGATTTTATTTTATTTTTTATAAGCTCACCCTTGTATTTCTGTCTATGATGTTGTGTGCGTGTGTACTGCGATGATCGTACGGTGGTACGTGAGCAGATGTAATAGATGTTGCATCTACTTCACATGTTGAGGGGCTAGTGGAGAAATGTTAGAAGATAGAGACGAGTAATTTTGCATTAAAGTCATTTTTTCTTATATTTTAAGACCTCATGTAGAGGGAGTGATGTAGTAAAAACTATGTATTTTTTAGTATTATGAACTAAATGTAATATTATGTTGTTTTGTTGGATATTTGTCATAAGAAATTCTGTTTATTTTGAATTGAAAAGTGAATTTTATACTTATATTCTTTGTTATTTATTTATCTCAAATAAGTAAGTATTGTAAAAATAATATTCTCGGTTCCTTACAAAAAGGAGTTATGACAATATTAGGCTAATGATAGAATCAAACCTTCTTTTAAGATACAATTGTTGATTTGTGAGATTCAGTCTCAGTATGGATATACAACAATATATTGAAAAGAATAAGTGTTAAAACAAAAGGCAATCGAAAAAGTTTAGCATTGAAAAGCCTCGTATGAAATTTTATTGCAATGGTGGTATGGATATACAACAATATATTGAAAAGAATAAGTGTTAAAACAAAAGGCAATCGAAAAAGTTTAGTCATTGAAAAGCCTCGTATGAAATTTTATTGCAATGGTGTGTAGCAATGTGTGATGTTTTCAGATGTTTAGTTGGATGCTAGAGACACCTTCCACAATGATGAATTGGTTTTAATGTTCAAATATTATGTCAAGTGTTTTTTTTAAATTTTTGTCTATGCATTAGAGCATTCAAACATAGCAAATTAATTGTGCAAATTGATGAGACATATTTATATAACA